TATTTTGTCATTTTTTTATTGTGAAGCTCGATATTTTCTACATCTATGCAAAAAACAAACAAACATTTTACAGGCATTCTTACATTGAATAGTGATAAAGAAAGGTCATTGGTGGCATTGTCCTCTTTCAATGAATCAGGTGTTTTACAATTGACATAGAATTACCTAGTTTTTATACGTTTTATCGTTCTGTGTGCATAATTTCTGTCTCTGTATAAAACATTAAACAAATATTAGGGAGATGCTAAGCCTATTATGCCTTCGAATACATGCACGGGAGACGCTAAGCCTATTATGCCTTCGAACACATGCACCACAGGTGTATGTGAATTTATTTATATTCACTTTCTATAGACAACCGGAAGCTGGATCATTAATCCCCTGGAAGTTTTCAAAATACTTCGGAGGCTAGGGTAGACAGGAGGTGAATAAAAGGGGGTGGCTCGGAATGATAGATGGAAGTTCTGGCCTCCCCAAACTTTCTTTCAGTGTTATAAAAAGAAAGGCTTTTTTTTCTATATTTTCCATCACAAGGCCGATGCTTGTACTACTGAAGAGTTTAATGTTATGAGTTCCACTGTGGTCTATAACCCACTTCAATGAAAAACGACGAAACAAAGTTAATAAAATGATGACTATTCTTTTTAAACAGCGAAGAACGCAACAAATAAGCTACAGTCTGTAAAACAAACAAAAGAAAAAAGCATAATTCACACTACGTCAAAAAAAGATCCTGTCCTATCAGGCACAAGAAGACGCTGCGGGGATGAAACACTCGAATAACTAACTCCAACCTTGTTGTAAATTTTCTGTTTTTATTTTTATATGTATAAATAAATGTGCAAAGTACATCAACGCAAGCTTAAGATGTGCTTGGATGTACGTCCGAAAGCTGTGCTGATGATGATTTATTATATTCCCGACTTCTTGAACACTGAGAAGCGTTTGTATAAATGTATACTATTATGTGTATTTGTTCATACACCAATTCTACCTCGACTTAGCAACGACAAAAGTAAATCAAAAGAATAAAACCTGTAGTAATTAGCCATTACAAGAATTTAATATAATACCTTCAAGTTTAAGTTGATAGCATAATGTCAGCTGGAACCCTGGTGTATCAAATATCGCAGTGATGTATACAAAAACATAACGTCATGTATCTTCTTTCGTCTTAACGATTACTTTATTGTTGTTAAACACGAAGCTGCACAATGGGCTATCTGTGCTGAGCCCATCACGAGTATCGAAACCCAATTTTTAGCGTTATAAGTCTGGTTCATTGTAAGAAGGCTATATGCATAAACGGCGGTTTCCTTTATTCGATTTCTAACTGATATAGATTTACAAAGCATCACTTTATATACAGAGAGAATCTACATAACCTAAACAAAATATATAACTGTGTACCAAATTAAAAAAAAAAACAGCGACTGATTGAATACTCGTATATATAGCTTAACATCTACCTCCCTTTTGATTCGTACTAGATACAATTACATCTTTTAACCGAGCTTGCGGCGATTTTAACTGCGATTATCCTCTTTTATCTGAAGTATAACGTTCATTTCTAAATTTAAAATACTGATGTATTTACTATAAGCGGAATCTAGCAACATTGTAAATAATGCCCCTGCATAGATTTTTGATTGTAAATGCTTTTATTTTCTCTTCTCAAAACTAAACTACGGTACATATTATTGACCTGCTAGTTTGGAGCACTAGACTCACAATATGCGAGTCGCGGGATCGCAACCCATCAACATCCTCACACTTTCAGTCATGGAGGTGTTATAATATGTGACGGTCAATCCCACTATCCCTTGGTAACGAGTAGCCTAAAAGTTGTTGGTCTGTGTTGTTGACTACCTGTCTTCCTATCATTTCAAAATTACTAATCGCTCCAGAATTAGGAACGACGCGCCCAGATAGCCCTCTAGTAGCTTTGTCTGAAGCTTAAAAAAATAACAAACAAATCAGAAAATATGAAGGACTGAGAAAACCAAAAGGATACTGTTTAAGACATTTAGTTTGCTTAATAGAAATATTCTTTATTTTAAGAAAACTGTCTTATTGTGGAAAATGAAGCATAAAGTTTGAATAATGTTCCATTTTTTCTAATTCTATTCTAGTCCTCCGGTGGGACAGTCTACACATTTAGAACTCTAAAATCCGGGGACTGATTCCCCACCGAGGACACAGCAGATAAGCCAATGGGCTTTGTTCTAAAACAAACAAACAATCCGGGGACTGATTCCCCACCGAGTACACAGCAGATAAGCCAATGGGCTTTGTTCTAAAACTAACAAACAATCCGGGGACTGATTCCCCACCGAGGACACAGCAGATAAGCCAATGGGCTTTGTTCTACACATTTAGAACTCTAAAATCCGGGGACTGATTCCCCACCGAGGACAAGCAGGTAAGCCAATGGGCTTTGTTCTAAAACAAACAAACAATCCGGGGACTGATTCCCTACCGAGGACACAGCAGATAAGCCAATGGGCTTTGTTCTAAAACAAACAAACAATCCGGGCACTGATTCCCCACCGAGGACACAGCAGACAAGCCAATGGGCTTTGTTCTAAAACAAACAATCAATCTTCCAGTCTAATTGTTACTTTTATATTCTGTTAAAGACTATCAATCTGTGTGAGTAAATATTTAAGTAAAACATTAGAATAGTTATTCTATATTGATTTTTAAGAAAATTTTAACGATACATAATCTGGGTACCAAAATAACGATAATAACAAAACACCACAATGCTGAGTAGAATATTTAAGACGAAAATATCTGCTATACTAAAAAGCCCAATTTCTGGTAATTGTTTCTGACGATTGGATAATTCAAGACATTTAAACGTACTTTTAATCACTTTCTGAATATTGCTTGTTCTCTGTATGACGGTAGTAACTGCTACACCTAACTCACCTCTTTTCTGCATGAACTGGAAGAGATCGTCCAGGAATTCCTTCCTCTGAGGATCGTCATTTAACTCGTACAACTAAGAAAAAAATATAAATTATGAAGCATGACATTTTTAGTTTTATTATCGAGAGTCTCTTTGTTTTTTCTTGCTCAAAGCGTCAAAATCATATCTACATTGAAACAACATTAATATGATTAATCTAAGCTTCCTTTGAAAACGTCACTCAAAGACTGTAAAATTAAAATGTTTGTGGTATACTTTAAAATCAACGTGGTTTACTAGTACTCATTATGTTAAATCATTTACGTCTCCCTTTTTATAACAAGATGGTTATCATTTTTAGGATAGCTGATCATAGAACAGTTCTAGGATTTTTTGTATTTTTTCCACCCAAAGTACAAACTTTTAGCTCATAGCTCCGTCATCGCTTAACCGATTTCAAATCTAATTACAGTTTTGGACTCAGGAGGTCAAACCCTTTCGATTGATGTATTTAATCACGCCAAAGGTCTCATAGATTAATTTACCCTAATCCTGCCTAAAAGAATTTCAAGTGCCGCGGCTATTGAAGATTCCTCTTGTTTCAAACAAGTACGGAATCCTCAATCTCACTTTATGAAAGTCCCCCAGTAGCATAGCAACATGTTTGCGGAATTTCGATACCCGTGGTGGGCAGAGAACATATAGCCCATTGTGTTTAAACTACAAACAAACACTTTATGAAAGAAACTATTGTGAAAAAAATACTGATCTACACCTTAGCAATGAGATAAAATATGTTTAATCGATAATCACTTTTCCATCCCACAGAAAAACTGTGTGCATGTTTATGAAGGTTTATTCAATTTCCTTCTGTGTATGATCAAATTTAACTGTTCTAGATGAATTCAGATTCTGCTAACTGTGTTATCCGTAAAAACAGTTCTCGTGCGAACGTTGTAAAAGATTAAGAATACAGTTTATCACAACAAGTATTTTACATGCTGTATTTGGAAAAGCGAAACAACAAAAATTATTTTTACATATATTTTAACAAATGTTTACTTACGGTACTTTTTATTTATGCAAATCAGGATAATTAAAATTTTGATTCACCTCTCTCAAGAACAAAATAATTTATTCCTATTATATATCAAGTGCTGAATAGTCATTTGAAGTATTATTGAAGTTCTTTATCTTGTATCGAATGGCAACTGAACATATATCATACTGAGAACAAATGATAAAATGCTCACAAAAAAGAATGTGACTGAATTAATTTTCTTTTCTGGTTTCAACTTATTTTTAGCCAATAATTTCTCAAACATCGTTTGTGTTACTTACAACGGGAAATACAATTATTTTTTAGGTATTAAGTTAGATAACATTTACAATTCAAATGACCCAAAAATTCATTGAGGTGGGGGGTGTGGGTCAAATGAATGCTAATGAGATTCTGCGGGATAATACTTCAGCTTCAAGTTTAATTAATAGATTCACTAGAATCCTACTGGCCAGCAGCTATCTGTCCGACAGACTCGATGGTTATTGATGACTGTAGACGTCGTATCCATCGCTTGATCATACGTGCTTTGGATATCGTGATCTGGTAACTTAAAGCTCTGCATCCTAAAACTCGCCTGATTGACCCTTGTACTTTCACTTCTTTTATAATGCTTGTTTTCTTTTTCAGGATTGCGGTATAGTTAACAAAAACTCACTGGCGTAGCTGACAAGTGAAAATTAATCACCATCCTACCACAAGCTGCTAACTAGAGAACTACAATCAAGAATGGGGGTTAGATATGACCCGCCAACTAGAAGCCCTCAGTAGGAAGGTTCAAGACTCAGACAGAGACGGTAGCTGACCAGGTGGGATAGTAAAACCGATAGTTAGAGTCATTAAGCCATAATCTTATATTCGCCTTGTTGAATCTTGTAACTTTTAAGCTTTTTATATAGTTAACAAACGTATCAGTATTTGTATGTTGGTAATTGTGCTTTGTTTTAATCGAATATGAAGAATATACATAACAATAAATTGTCGCATGTAATAGCCAAATGTCTGTCTGTCACGCTCTGAACGGTTCGTAGAAAAACAAGTTATATATCAATATCAAAATACTTTTCAAGAGTACATTACAGGAAAATTACTTATTTTTTTTTTGCAATTCCTAAAATGACATTGATATCAACATCTATCCGTCAGTTTTCGTGTGTGCTGAACGGTCAGTCTGAGAAAGAAAAAAACTTATTAAGAACAAAAACATTTCTTTTATGGGGAGAACTTTACACAAAAAGTACTTCCTCCGTCGAATAAGTGAAAGAAATGTTTCGAAGGTAGAAAGCATGAACGGAAAAAACGCATAAAGAGGGGAATGCGTTTTAGTATATACTTATTGTTCATCGGTTATATATATATATATCATGTGGGTATTGCATGCATTCATGATTTTATTGTACCATGTCAAATAAACTGATTTGAATTGAACTGAATATCTCCCTTTTGACATGTATTATAGAAATGACAACTGTCAAAAAGCGCTCACTTCGGTAGCTGTCTTTTCTTGCGCTCAGTAAAAATGACAAGCAACGGTAGCATCCAGCGGAAAAAATATCCGCGGCTACTTAGCGGACTTGTGCGCTCTATTGTGCTAGATATACTAATTGCATCGAAAATCAAACATTTTTGCCAACAATGCATTGCAGTTTATCTCCTTTGCTTAAAAGCAAACGTAATTCTCCTTTTTATGTAATAAATGGAATAAGAAAAGTTGGTTATAAATGGCCCACTAGACAATAATATTGCATATACGCTCTAATCTTAGAGATTGGGTTGACTGCACATTTTATATTTATTCCTCATTATTTTTAGGAAAATTACCGTTGAATTATTTCAACGACCATCTACTAGTATAACACATTCTTTAAATTCAAACGAAGCATCAAATTGTAAGGAGGGTATGGAAAATAAAATGGAAGTTGTTTTTTGTTTTGTTTTCCTATAGAATAAAATTAATGAATCTCTCACAATTTTGCTATAAAAATAATACGTAACAAGTTTAATGTTAGAGGAGAAATGGAAACGCCCAGTTTTGCTAGTTTGTAGTTGGCTTCAGTTTAGCAATCACCAGATTTTCTGTCAAATCCGTTCACTTACGACAGTGAATTTATAGGAGTAAACTACTATTTATTCTAACGAGTAACATCCTTATTCTTAACATAGAATTAAAACACATCTATAGCTTGCATGAGAGCACGATTCCTGCCCACAACAGTAATTAACTTTGTTTTGACACTGTGATCAAAGGCATAGCAATAGGAGGTGCAAAGCGCCTAGGCCTCAAGAGTTAAGGGACTACTTGCAGGGTTCAGTCAGCTTAGAATATTAAGGATATAATAAGCTAACAATGTAAAATAATCTCGATAATAAAAGTACAATAACAAAATAAAACTAAAAGTAATCATTTTCTATATATCAAGCAGTCTAACCAATACAAGTAACAATAAATAAGTAATATTGGATACCTTACTTATGGAACATAGAAACACTGGATGTGGGCTTGAACTATTGTCGCTGAATTAACTCTCTTTAAAAAAACGTAACATTGGTAAAACATGCCTGATTTTCTTCCAGTTTTCCCTAACATGTCTTTTGACAAAAGAAAACTCATTAAGCCACTCCTACTGTGAAACTATAGAGAGGAGTGGCATTTTGACCAGTTTTACAACGACACATGTTACTGTTTAAACTGTGTCGAGTTAGATTCAGTAATTTACTTATAGTACAATAAAAAACAACAACTAGTGTTTATGAAGAAACAAAATAATAAATACGAAATTAAGAGAATACCTGAATCGGTCATAAATATATAACAATGCTTAATTAATGCAATAAAAAAAGAACGCTAAACATACTATCAGGTGAGTCTAACACTACGACTCTTAGGCTTAACAACCACATAGAGTTGAATACAGGAAGTAATAAAATATGCTAAAACTTCTTTCAGAGTCAAACAGAAAACGCTATGAACTTTAAATCAAGTATGTCTAAGTGGTACCGCAAGAGGAAAAATAAAACGCGGAGTAGAATTTCAAGCCCACAATTTACAGAAAATGACTTCGTTTTCCAAGAGTGTTGAGGAAACGGATGATACTAAAAAAGGCTCAGGTCTAATTCTCCCTGTGGCTATAACAATTATGTAGGCTTAGGCTTAGAAAGTGCTGAGAGAAGCCTAAATGTGATTTTAAAGAAAAAAATAAGTTTCTGCGAAAAATAATAAGTCAAGTGATATTTACAAAAGTAAATTTCCATACGTCCTAAATTATAATGGTACTCACAATGATAGGCCAGAAATGAACACTGGTTAATGATATTAATAACTGTTCTGCTAATTTAGTTAATTGCAAGTACCCAGCTGATAAAGCTAACTTTTTTAAATGCAAACCAAAAGTGTGTGTTTCTGTTTTATAGCAAAACCACATTGAGCTACCCTGCTGTGTCCATAGCGGGGAATCGAACCCCGGGTTTTAGCGTTGCGACTCCGTAGACTTACCGCTGTTCCACCAAAATCATTTTAAATCACTGTCTGTGCCAAATCATCAGGTCCATTCCCATATGATATATTTAGAGCCAACAAAGGAATAAGTTTCCATGCTTGTTTCTACGATAAAATGTTTAAAGTTGGTGCAAAGCTATCACTAGCATGTTTGTGTTTCTCACAACTCTACATGATTTTACTGTGATCCCTGTTTGTTTAAAGCTGGTTCTAAGCTATCACTAGCGTGTTTGTGTTTCTCATAACTCCACATTATTTTACTGTGATCCCTGTTTGTTTAAAGTTGGTGCAAAGCTATCACTAGCATGTTTGTGTTTCTCACCCCTCTACATGATTTTACTGTGATCCCTGTTTGTTTAAAGTTGGTGCCAAGCTATAACTAGCATGTTTTTGTTTCTCACCACTCTATGATTTTACTGTGATCCCTGTTTGTTTAAAGTTGGTGCCAAGCTATAACTAGCATGTTTTTGTTT